ATAATATTCAAATCGAATTTCATTTATTTAAATGTCAACAATTTCTTTATTTTATTCTTTTTTTATTATATTTTCAATTTTAAAAGTAAAATTCATTTGTTGACATAAGCAGAAGAAATCTTCATTATAATATTGTTCATGGAGAAAAAATTTTTTAATTATAGATTTTATATGCATACGGTGTTTATTTGAAAACATATTTAATGTCCCTAAGGTTAATGTTCCAAAATCTACAAAACCATGAACAAAAGCAAAAATAGTTTAGGATCAAAGAATGGGTCTATAGTCAAAATATATAAATTTTCAGTTTTTAAACTATTTTTATAGTTGGCCATTTTAAAAAATTTGGAAATTTTGAGTGTTTTCAGTATTTTTGTCATTGGCCATGGTTTGCAAGTTTTTACCAATAGTCAAAATATAAAAAATTTAAGGATTTATACTATTTTTGCTTTTGTCTATTGATCGCTTTAATTCTTTATAGCTAAATATTAAGAAATTTTGTGTTTAAAAATATTCTTGTTTTTTTCCATGATTTTTTAGATTTTGACCGTAGTTGAAAATTGTAATTTTTGAATACTTGAAAGTATTTTTAATGTTAATTCTGACATACGAGTATGGTTAGGATTATTGTCAGAAATAAACATACAGTATTGCTGTTCTTCACATACATATTACTGTCTAATATTAATCCATAGTTTGTTTCGTGAATCTCATACAATAAACTAAGAAGAATTAGAAAAAAAGGAAGAAAATCAAATTTCAAGCAGCTTGTTGCCTCGTAAAACTAATCTCCTTATGCTCTTGAGTGCAGTTTGAGCGACGATAGCGGCGTCGTAACACGATTCGGGGGTTCGTTTATATTACACTAAGCGCCCGCGGGATTCGTAACCAAGAAGTACCTACAGTATAAGCGAGAGCAAGAGAAAAGATACTAGACTGCGAGAGTGAAAATTTCCAAGAGTAGAAACGAGACGCACGCAAAGTTATAGGAATGAGAGAGAAGATAAAAGATACGATCCAGATGTCCCGAGTTTCTAAAGAAGTTGAAGCCGTTTGCGATGTCAGGCTTCATTCCCCAAGCCATATAGTTCATTGGCAGGAAGACTCACATTAAAACCGAACTAATCTTTATATCATTCGTCGTGTGTCGTCTCAACGTTCCCCCTTAAACCGTGTGAAAGACACGTTGTTAGATGAAATTTAATTCATGCGTCTCTTTTCTTTAATGCGACCAATTACATTCAATATATATAAACATCACGATGACAATTTTTTTTATATTATTATTAAGGCTATGTCCAAGTTGTGAAATGTAAACAAACCAAAAGGTTACTAAGCCAGCACTAAAATTGCAATTTTTCGACAGCCAATTCTCCCACAAAAAATAACATTTTTACACTTTCTTTACGAAAATGGAAAATTAGAGTATCAAAGTTTCCAATAAAATTGTTTTTGACTATGAGCAATAAAAAGCAATTCGTAAAATAACTAGTTAGAATGACCTGTATACCAGCATTTTTGACGCGTCGCGAAAAATAAACTGTTTGAGTATATCAACCGCACGGATGATGAAGAAGTTACATGTCAGCGATTAGACCTTCGACATGTGGAAAGGGAAATTTTTTCCTTTCCTCCTTGAAATTACAAGAGAAAGGGTGCGCAGACCGTACCAAGGTCGCAATGACATCACCATGCAAAAAGACACATTTTGTTTTTGACTGAAACTCAGTGGATTTCTTATTTTTTCAGTTATTCAAAGTTTAGTAACCAAATTCGATACTTTAGTTCACCATTTCCATAAAGAAAATGTGAATTTATATTTATTTACGCAAATGGGAACCGCGAAAAAATGCTTCACTATTCGCTGTATAATGAAGCATTTTTTCGCTGTTCGCATTTGCGTAAATCAATATAAATTCACATTTTCTTTATGGAAATGGCGAACTAAAGTATCGAATTTGGTTACTACACCTTGCATAGCTGAAAAAATGAGAAAATAACTAAGTTTCAGTCATAAACAAAATGTGCATTTTCGCTTGGCACAGAAAAAACTTGGACTCATTTTTGTTGCAACTCAAAATGAGTCCATGTTAAATGACATAGAACGTGGCGCCATCTGCCCTACTCATTTTTGTTGCAGCTCATAATGAGTCACTTTTCCGACTCATTTTGAGTTCAGTTTTTTTCTGTGGGTGCTGTCAATGCATTCTTAGTTTTGGTTTTGAATAATACTCAGTGGTTTTCTCATTTTTTCAGCTATGCAAGGCGTAGTAACCAAATTCGATACTTTAGTTCGCCATTTCCATAAAGAAAATGTGAATTTATATTGATTTACGCAAATGCGAACAGCGAAAAAATGCTTCATTATAGACCGAATAGTGAAGCATTTTTTCGCGGTTCCCATTTGCGTAAATAAATATAAATTCACATTTTCTTTATGGAAATAGTGAACTAAAGTATCGAATTTGGTTACTAAACTTTGAATAACTTAAAAAATGAGAAAACCACTGAGTTTCAGTCAAAAAAAAAATGTGCCTTTTTCATGGTGATGTCATTGCGACCTTAGTACGGTCTGCGCACGCGCAGCGAGCAACAGAGTTCACGTCGCGAAAAATTAAACTGTTTGACTATATCAACCGCACGGACGATGAAGAAGTTTTTACTCTTTCTTTTGTAATTTCAAGGAGGAAAGGGGAAAATTTCCCTTTCCACATGTTGAAGGTCTAATCGCTGACATAAGACTCCTTCATCATCCGTGCGGTTGATATACTCAAACAGTTTATTTTTCGCGACGCGTCAAAAATGCTGTTTTACAGGTCATTTTAACTAGTTATTTTACGAATTGCTTTTTATTGCTCATAGCCAAACATGATATTTTTGGACATTTTGAAACTCTAATTTTCCATTTTTGTAGAGAAAGTGTAAAAATGTTATTTTTTGTGGGAGAATTGGCTGTCGCAAAATTGCGATTTTAGTGCTGGTATAGTAACCTTTTTGTTTGTTTACATTTCACAACTTGGACATAGCCTTAAAACTCTGAAACATAGTCTATACCCAGTGGGAAATTGCTAACTCTCTAAATGCTTGATGTACTCAGAAAAACGATTCATTCAAATCAAAGAAATCATTTTTTAAACTCAATTAAAAACTGAGTTTAAAAAAATGATTTCTTTGTTTTGAATAAATCGAATGGGAAGAAACGGACGTCTTGACCCATATTTCGTCTAAGACGTCCGTTTTTCCCATTACATTTGTACTCGCCATTTTTATAGATGCTGGGCTAAAAAACATTTGCATATTGTGTTTCTTACGTATTTTTTTACTCTTCTTTCAGAATCTACAAGAAAATTTTACTTTTCGCTTAAGGATAAAAAGTTATGATTGTTTAAACAAAAAAGGAGCATCAATTTTTTGGGTTTTCTTTCATTAAAACTATATTTTTGATTGGAAATCGATTAAGAAAAAATTTGAAATGACAAAATATCGCTTCCAAAATGTATGACCTGTTATTTAGACATTTTTAGGAATTTTCAATTTTTCGAAATTAACCCGTTGACTGTCGCTGACGCATATATATGCGCAAAACTAAACTGGCCAAAAGTGTTTCATGACGCATATATGCGCAACTTAAAAAAGGTGATTAAAAACTTCTTAAATGTTCCTGAAACCGGTTACTCGGGGGTTTTCGAGGTCGCTGATTTCGAATATGACATTCGTTTTCCAAAATTCAAAGTGGCGGATCTAATATGGCGGACAACAAAATAAAAAATTGATCAGATTGACTTGAAACGTAGTACTCGGGGGTTTTTGACGTCGCTGATTACGAATCTGACATCAGTTTTTCGAAATTCAAAATGGCGGATCCAAGATGGCGAAATTTTTTTGAAAATTCGTCGAATTTGCTTGAAACTTGTTACTAGGGAGTTTTAAGGGTCCTCGACTACGAATCTAACATTAGTTTTGCAAAATTCAAAATGGCGGATCCAATATGGCGGACAACGAAATAGAAAATTGATCAGATTGTCTTGAAACTGAATACTCGGGGGTTATTAGGGTCGCTGATTACGAATCTGTCATTATTTTTTCAGGGTATTTATCGAAATTTGATCTCACCAACAATTATCATACTGATGTCAGATTAACCAGTTTCAAACAAATTCAATAAATTTTAAAAAATTTTCCGCCATATTGAACCAGATATTTTGAGTTTTGAAAAACTGATTTCAGATCCGTAATCAGCGACCCTGAAAATCCCTAAGTATTCAGTTTCAAGCCAATATAATCAATTTTTTATTTCGTTGTCCGCCATATTGGATCCGCCATTTTGAATTTTGGATTTTCAACACACTTTTGGCCCAAACAGTGGAAATCTTTTTGACAGCCAAGGGGTTAAAAAGGCGGTCAAAGTAACTAAACTTTTAATTTTTGAATATAGGCAGACAAAACAAATTGCAGACATATTTTCTCATCACAAACGACGGAACTCAATAAAAAACATCTATGATAAAATTTTACTACTGTCAGTGGCGTAGCTTCAAATTCTGGGCCCCCGCGAAAAACGCTCTAGGCCTTCTTAAGGGGAGCTAAATGTTATTTAGAATTCAAAAGTGCACTCAAATATTCAATTTTATTGAGGATTTCCAATAACATACGTATACAATAAAATATTCTATTTATAGATTAAGCTTATCTTCAAAAATAAAACTTTGACAATATAGTAGTTAATAAGTTAATAATTTTTATTAAAATAAAATATTTATAGTTTTGTTACACATTTAAAATGTAGTTTGTAATCATTTGGAAGAAGAAAAATAAAAAGTATATAAAAACACAAAATTTTAGTTCAAAAATTGTTTTCTGCGAGATTTTGCTTCGGCAAAACTTTTAATCAACTGTGTTTTGTCAATTGATTCAGCCTCTGCAGCTTCAATTGAAAGTAATGCTAAATTACTAAGGCGATTTTGACTGGAACTGTTTCTTAGATAGTTTCGTATTATTTTTTATTTCGAAAACGATCTCTCAGACGATGCAGAGGTTACAGGAATCGTTAAAAATATTAGTAAAGCTGTAATTACCTCAGGAAAATTTGAAGCTAACGTATTGTTTTCCACAATTAGAAAATGTGCAAAACTGCGAATATCTTCAATTTCCTTTATTTCGTCCTTCAGTGGTCGACACAAAGTCAATACCTCTAACGGGAACGCTGGAGAAAGATCATTTGGATAACTTTCTTTCAAAACTTCGGCAGATTTAACTAATGATTCTTCACTGATCGAAGTAAGAATATTTGGATTTAGAAAGCTGAATTGATCAACGATTTTTTCCATTCCTTCGAAACGATTGGTTATTTGGTTAATGACTATATCAAAAACTTTATAATAAATATTTACTTTAAAATAATGCTCTCGACTAGAAAACAAATAATTTAAAATAATTTCATCCACTTTTTTCTTTGGTTTGTATTGTCTCTTATCTTTAAAAATTGGTTCAATATTCCACGATTTAGCCGTATCACAAGATTCTTTTCTCAGAATCTCATAATTATTTCGTTGCTCTTTTAGGTTCTGTTTACACATTTTTAAATATTTTAGGGCCTTTGACAGGTCCAATTCAGTTTTTTGTAAAATTTGAGAAACTACATTAGTTTCTTGTAAAATTTTAGAGCAAAAAGTTAAAATCATTATAAACTCGAAGTTGTCAATAGCATTTAACAGTCTTTTTGATTCATCACGTTCATTTTTTTTTTAGTTAAATTTATTTTTGTAAGTGCCATTACTATATCTACAAATCGCAATTTCACAGCTAATAAAGACGTAACTCTACCCGCCCATCGAGTAGGATTTAATTTTTTTAGTCACAGAAGATTCACCAGTAAATGAAGCCAAAATATCCCATCTATTAATACTGGTTCCGAAAAATGTGTATAAGTCACCAATTGTAACAAAAAAAGAATAAATTTCTCTTACTGATGACATCGCATCGTTAATTATAAGATTTACCTTATGAGCAAAACAGTGTGTATATGTCGTAGGCAACTAGAAGAATCCGGCATTAAGCTTAATTCCTAGGCAATAAGCTTACTGCCGGCAATTAGACGAATACACGACAAAATCGTTCAGATTTGTCTATTTGCCTAGGCAGTAAGCTTAATGCCCGGCAGTAAGCTTATTGCCCGATGAAGATTCGGCAATTAGACGAATCACATTAGAATCCATTTGCAGTGCACAAACGTCCTATAAAAAATTAATTAAAAACAATAATAATGATAATAATAATAATGATAATAATATTCCTTGACTCATATAAATAATTCTCGACTAAAATAAATATTGCTTGAGTCAAATAAACATTTCTTAACTGAAATAAATCATTCTGGACAGAATTAAATATTTCTTGGGTAAAAAAAATATTTCTTGAGTCTAATAAACATTTCTTGGATCAATTAAATAATTCTGGACAGAATTAAATATTTTTTGAGTAAAAAAAATATTTCCTGAGTCAAATAAATAATTTATATTTTCCTAAGAAATATTTTTTTTCATCCAAGAATTATTTCTTTTTGAGGCAAAAAATATTTATTAGACTCAAGAAATATTTCTCAATGATAACAAATATTTATAAGAGTCAAGAAGCATTTATTTGAGTCAAGAAATATTTATTTAAATCAAACAATCTCTATTTGACTCAATAAATATTTATTTCACTAAAGGAATATTTTAGTCAAAAATTGTTTGATAGACTTAAACAAAATTTATTTTAGTCGAGAAATATTTTTCTTTATGCAAAAGTAAAAAAATTATTTATTTGACTCAGGAGATATTTTTTTTACTCAAGAAATATTTAATTCTGTCCAGAATTATTTAATTGATCCAAGAAATGTTTATTAGACTCAAGAAATATTTTTTTTACCCAAGAAATATTTAATTCTGTCCAGAATGATTTATTATTATTATTATTATTATTGTTTTTAATTAATTTTTTATAGGACGTTTGTGCACTGCAAATGGATTCTAATGTGATTCGTCTAATTGCCGAATCTTCATCGGGCAATAAGCTTACTGCCTAGGCAAATAGACAAATCTGAACGATTTCGTCGTGTATTCGTCTAATTGCCGGCAGTAAGCTTATTGCCTAGGAATTAAGCTTAATGCCGGATTCACATTGCAGTAGGTTCAATATCTTTTATTCGTTTTTGGACACCCGAATAAACGCCACTCATGGTACTTGCGCCATCATAGCCTTGTCCTCTACATTTTTTTAAATTTAATCCCAAGTTTTTTAATAAATTTAGAATAAGATCAGTCATCCCAGCTGCAGTTTGATCTGTAACTTTGACAAATGTTAAAGTTATGTCAATTAGCCTGTGGAGTACTTGTTGCCAAAAATTTGATTCATTTTGAATTTGTTCTTCTAAGGACCGATCAAGGCATTTATTTTGTTTCCAGCGATCAAGAATATAACAAGATGTAACGTGGCTCTCTGATCGAGCATGCTCTTTAATTTTTTTGGATAGTCCTTTCCAGTCAGATGTACCGTCTTTCCACGCAGTACTAGTACTATTAAATAACCAGAAAGGCTCACAATAAGCTTTATTTTTCTTAGGCGAATAACAGAGTCATTTTGTTGAAACAATTTCTCGAGCAGAACTTTTTTGTTGATAATAATAGAGTCAGAGAAACTTCTATTTTCATCATTTTTTGGAAATTGTATAATAGGCTGGCAAGAACCTTGACTAATAATAAATCTTTTCAATTTTTCGCTTAATATTATGTCTCTAAAATTGTCCCTGTCACTAGGATATTCTGTTTTAAGCAATAAATTAATAAGTAAATCATCATTGTTTTTGAATTCAATATTGTCATCGACATTTATTTCTGAGATAGGCAAATTTTGATGTGTAGAATGAAAATTGCCATTGTTATTAAATTCACTTAAGGAAACTTCACTCATTATATTCTGCATATTCTCATCTTTTGGAATATTCCTCGTTATTCTCTCTTCTGGTACAATATTGATATTTGGTGTTGATAAAAGAACATCCTGATTTTGATCAATATTAAGAGAATTCGAATCCATAAACGTATGGTTGGGACAGGTGTCAAAAAGTATCAATCTTTGGTAATTTTGATTTTTGAAGTTCTTCCTTTTGTTTTCGTCTTCGCTTTGAAGTACCACTGGTTGTACTTAACTGTTCCATAACTTTACAAATGTATTTATAAGATAATATTATTAATATTAATTATATTATCATACAACCATTAAACAAATTTTTACTTACTAAATGCAATTGAATACAATAGGTATAATTTCGTATATGATAATCCTCAATGAAAATGTCACATTCTTAAATAGGTTATATCTTACAAACTTTGAAGTCTATACAGAGAACAAACCCGCGTACAAACTGATGTTTATAAAGAAGGTCTTAATTTCGTGCCGAAAAATAGTGCTTATAAATGGTGGCGCTTCTGTCGAATAGTATATGTAATCAACGCAAGGGCCTGTACGCAAAATATATTACACTGAAGACTGAACTTTATAAAATTAAAATGAGTGCTGCCATATAAATTGATAAAGCCGAGTGAGAGGGCAGATCGTTAAGACCCTGTCTCTCTCTTCATTTTAGTTATGTACCTATATATAGTTTATATGTATATATATATATATATATATATATATATAGATATACAGAGTTCAGTGAAAATATAATCGAGAAACTTACTTACGTAAACGATGCATCAGAAAAAAAGGACAGATATATATTTTGTAACTTTTTTTATTTTTTAAATATATTTTTCTACCTTATGTTTTATGTTCGTGATCTATGAAATTAGTTGTTTTAAAAATTACAAAGTCGGCCGCCACGGGACCCATAACAACTCGGTCCCCCGCGACCGCGGGGGTTCGCGGTAGTGTAGCTACGCCACTGACTACTGACTAATATTTAACAATATGTCAAATCAATTTTTAAACAAATTATGATTTGAAAGACATAAATATTGTCGACAATAAAATGTTTTTTCATATAGCTCTTATTTTTTACAGTTACATTGATTGTTGAATGTTTAACCTTATTATTTAACAATATTATAAACAATTTTATAAATAAATTAAAAATAGACAACTATTTTCGAATTAAAATTTTTTAGATTTGAATTAGATTTTACTAATTTTTTTTTCTAAAAATATGCTTCAAAAGTAGTAGAAAGTTACTAATAAAATGATTTGAAGTCGTCCACCAAATGATTTAGTAATAATTTTATTGTGGCAATTGAAGGGCTGACTGCAATAAGGGGACGAACGCGTGGTTGAAAAGGATAATATCAGCCAGGTAGCAGCGAGCGACTCAAGGCTTGTCACTGCTACCCGACTGGTAGTATCCCTTCCAAGTCTCGCGATCGTCCCCTTATTGCAGCCAGCCCTTCAATAGTTCAATTAGTAAAATTTTACTAATTTTGTTGAAACATTTCACGACAGAAATATCACGATTTGCAAAGGGTCTGCTGATTTTTGCAAAACTTCGAGGGATTATAGTTCTATATAAGAAACTTCTTTCCCCCAAATTTAAAAAAAAATTCAAAATTGTTGAAGATACGCCATTTTGAATTTAAATATTAAGTTTATAAAATTTTGAATATCTCGAAATATTGTTTATAGATTTTTATAAAATTTACACATTTTTCAGTTAAAAGTATGTACTTTAAAATGCAAATAAAGTTATTAAGGGGAGGTTCCCATTGCGGGAGTCAAAAAAATTTATTTCATTTTTATTGTATTTTTTTAAAGCTATATATGTGACGCTCCACGAGAAAAGGGACCTTATTTACTCTTGTCATAAGGTCCCTTTTCTCGTGGAGCGTCACATATATGTATAGAATATCTGTGTATAGCGATTTTTTGATCCGAAGAATGTTTTCGTTTTTATGGAGTCTTGAACTCACCGGCGTCCCGAGCACTGACAATGAGTAACAAATGTCAGGCAAATCGAATCGATTTTTAAAAATTTTGCAAATCTGACCTCAGAATCGTAACGAGCGACCCTAAATACCAATATATATTTATCATATACGCAAACTGAACAAAGAATTGCAAAAAATACAATTTTTCAAACTGGTGGGAATCGTAGCGTCTAAACTATTGAATCAATCAACTTCGGGTTTGCGGCTAATTAAAGGTAACTAAATTCTACTGGGGTTATACCTATAATACGATAAAATTATACTAATAGAGATAACTAATAATAACTAATACTAGATAACTACTAATAGAGATTTTTACAAGAGGTCAAATATGAAAAAATAATGCAAAAACGCAGTTTTTTTAAAAATGTGTCCGCCATTTTGTCATTATATTAACTATTTTATAGGTATAACCTATTCTTTAGGATGTCACCTTTATAAAAAATTTTCAGTTTTTGTTTTAGACTAAAAATTGCGCAGTGTAGAATGCCCACCGTTTTCCCTATTTAAAAAAACCTTGTTTTCTAGATGCGCCATATTGGCTGCCATTTTGCATTTTTTTTTAAATGAAATATATGTTTTAAAAGTTCAAGAATGTATCTTATTTATTTAGAAAA